CTAGTGGCAATACCAACCCGTAACAGTGCTGTAATCGATCCGAATTATCGATCTCAGAGCCAGGATCGTTAAGATTTGATCGATAAGCCTATTGATCGATTAGATCGATATCGTTAAGGATTGCTTAGTAAGCTCATATCAGTATCAAAGGTAGACTTCAAATTCATAAAACCTGTCTAACTGCTCAATCTATGTGCAAGACAAGGGGGTTTTTGAACTTTGAGGTGCCGATCTTATACTAATTTACTTGGGCCTTACATAACCGAGCGCTCTAATCTTACGTGGGCAATGATCAGCTTCATGCTTACGTGAGGATTCTCAATCCTTAACGATCTCGAGATCGATAAATCTGAGATCGATAACTAACGATCTCGATATCGAGATCGAAATCGTTAAAGGCTTAACGATCCAGGATCGTTTACAGCACTGAACACGCAAGCATTGTTGTCTAGTGGCAATACCAACCCGTAATGCGGCTGCCTAAGCGGCAATATTCCAGCAAGTATTTAATTTCGTAAAATTCCGCTCTTTTATTTATTATAGATAATAGAATAACATAAGAGTCTTAAGAGTCTTTTATTTTGTACAGGCTGTATTTACCATACGTGCTGTGTGCCAGTATTGAAGCCGACAAGCTGCGTTTGGTGCGGAACGCCACTGTACTTACGTCATGAGACACATCATCAACTTATTTTAAGTTGAGAAGACTTCGCTGTCACCTGATGAAATCAGGGCGGCGGGCCAGCCTTTCAAACTACTTGACATCAATGGTTTTATGGCATCCAGCAATTACGTCAAGCCTGATTGTTCACTACCCGATGGTCAAATCTGCGGTTTATCGTCACGTCCGCAGAAGTCGAGGCAGCGACGGTGCATCTGGGCAACTCGGATGGGTCCTGAAAGGGGACTTGACCAGATTGGGTGGCGACCTGGTGTGCAAGGGGAATACAGGACAAGGAGTCGCGTTCTGACGTCGCGTTCTGACGCGAAGCAGGGCCGAAAGTGCTCTCCGCTTCTGGTAACTGTCCCAAAGCGGAGCTACAGTTACAGAAGCGGAGCTTGTGGTGTTGTGCACCCCTGGTGACCAATCCAGTGGCTGTCGGGAGTGCAATCCGTCGGCCGCATTTAGGTCCCCGCCCGCCGGGCCGCTTTAGGTCCGATGACAGCCAAAAAAAAAAATGGATAACTAGGCTTGGCAAAT